AGCAGGAAAGGCGAAGAGAATGCAAAAAGCACTAGGTCAGAGAAAAGCAGCATGACTCTGCAGGCTAGCTGTTATGGCATTCAGAGAAGGGATCCTATTGTCTGGTCCCTTTTCCCACAATTTGTTTTTATATTTTACATTAAAACGTCACTGACCAAAATACAGAAACTGTCTTGGGAAGTGGGGACCGGAGCGCCAGGATCCCCTCTACCAAGGCTAGATTAAGTGCTAAGGTAGAATCAGGCTACTTCTTGCTTCCCCTCTCTGGCTTAATGAACCTTAAATATTTTCCTGTACGACACAATTTCAATAGGGTAAAGAGTGTTCCCCAACCCATGATAATGCTTAGCTCTTGGAAAGAGGGAGACAAAGGAAGGAGCTATTTCTGGGCCAAGGGATCCAGCCATTAAGCTATTACCTAAAAAGGGCACTCCCTCTATTCACCATCACATCACCACCTCCTCCATCCACATCATTTTTTTAAAAGCAACCAGTACTCGGTTCTTTAAATACATAGGCATAAGAACCTATCTTCACAAGAGAGTTCTGGCTATAAAGCCAAATGAATAAACCCAAACAAGTTGCTCAGGACATGTGCCAATGCTTAGCCTTTTTCGTATACTACGTTGAGGCAATTCCTGATGGCTGTTTTGGATCACATTCTGAGCATAGCTCCCTTCCATGTATTATATAAGGAAATTAGGCATTTAACGTAGAGTTCTAGAGCCCACTAAAGTCGCCAGGTACCTCTCCTTAAGCACTGTGGTGCTTAACTTGCAGACACTTAATTCCTCTCTTACATCTTACCCTATAGATGCCTCTAATACCTGTGCTGGAAACTGTAAAAGTACCTAGTAAAAAACTGAATTATAATGGTGAAGCACAGAACATATGCAGACATAGGGCAAATCCAGACATGAAGGAGCATGACTGCCTTACTCATTCTCATACTTTTGCACCAGAATTACCAAGATGTCAAGTCTTTGGTGAGTCACTGAAAGCCAGCAGATGCTGCAATCTTTTCTTTGTTTTCATCTCCTGGATAGCATTAAAAAAATAAAATTGTTTCTCTAATATTGCTTTTTAACATGAACACTCCCTATAATTGCTTCTGGGATATTACGTGACCATGACTAAACTCACTAATGGAGCAATTATGTGCTATAAAGAATGAGGTTGTCAATATTTAATATTACAATGTGCTGATTGCTGTTTTGAGCCCAGAAACTGGGGCTGACTTAAGGAAATACCAAAACAAGACAAACTGAAAAGTATGGCTTTTAAGGCAAGTTATACCCCCAATATGCCCCATGTACTGTTTTCTTGAGGGTAAATTTACCTATTTAGCACTAAACATTCCCGATGCTCTTACAGAAATGCTGATGTTAGTCACACGTGAGAGACCAGCTTCATTTTAGAAGACAGCTGTGACAAGGGGCTGGCAGTAACTCCTAGATAAGCCTGCCCTCTCACCCGAGCCAGCGCACCTCCAAAGTCCCTGCTATGTCTCACATATTATGCATCTGCCTAGTAAATCCCACAGTAAGTTCAGACCAGCTGCACTTGCTAACTAATTGGCACAGGATAAAAAGGAGGCTCCACCTATTAAAAAGAAGCCGGCAGGCTATAAAGTTAGTGCTTGGAAATGTGTAACTGCCCCACAGCGGGTTTCTACCCCGCTCGCACTGCACCGCACAGCAGGGCACCTTCGGCATCACCGACCCACACCACTGCCGCCCGTGGGAGACCTGCCCGGAGGGGGAGGGAAGAAGGGGGACCCCGCGCGGTCTGTGCGGGAAGGGGGGGGTCCCTCGGGCGCGGGTCCCGGAGCCGGGCCCGGGGGGAGTGAAGTCACTCACCCACGTCCTGGTCGAAGGGGTTGGTGGTGAAGAGCGGCATGGCGGGGCCGGGCAGGGAGCGCTATGGGCCGGGGCCGGCAGCGGCCTCCGCTCCGCTCCTCCCCGTCAGGGCGCCGTTGCGGAGCCACCTCCCCCGGCACCTGAGCCAGCGCCGCGCGGCATGCTGGGAAACAACGCGGCTGCCCGGCGCACTGCCTGCCCGCCCGCCTGTCCCACGGGCTCTGCACCGATGCCGAGGGACTGGGATCATAGCCCCACCGCCTTCTTGCCGCAGGGCAACCGCGGCGCCTGCCCAGCCCATACGGAGCTTGCTGGCAGGGACCTCCGGCCGGTCGGCGCTAAGGCCCCTCAGGCAGCGTGGAGGCAGCTACGACCCCGATAGAGGCGGAGCCTGCCCTCCCGGTCGCGCAGGCGCAGCTCGGCTATGTTAGCTGGCATAGGGCAGAAGCGAGGGTACTTCTTTCTGCTTGGTTTGTCTCTGCTGCACAGAGTCGGCTGCTGCGGCAGCTTTCTAGGACTTCCCCTTACAGCGAGCTCCCTCCAGTCCCTGGTAGGAGTGAGGAGGCCAGTCCGGGTTTCACGCGGCAGCAAGTAGCTGGTTCCCAAAACAGCAGGTTCCTGCATAGGAGTGGCCCTGGGCTGCCCAGACCTGCATCCAGGCTTAGCGACGTGTTGGCAAGACTGTGATGACTAGTCATTGTCATCCCATATGGTAGGGAGTAATGCTCGGATAGTTAATCACGAGACTGCACCCTCCTTCCTAGGTGTGGTCCCATCAAGCTCCGTGACTATCACATGAGTGTGATATGCAGCTGCCCGAGCAATCTACATCTCCTCCTGGCTTTGCCATGCAAGGCTGTTGGTTTGTTCTTTCAATAGCTTTTAGTACAGCACCAGTTGGCTGACTGGGTGCGCAGCTGTTGGTAAAGAAAGGGTAGAAGGAAGGGGAGGATCCTAAAGGAGATGTATCAGCTGCCATTACAAGAAAAGAAATGGGAACAAAATGCATGGGGGGGAAACCCCAAATCGATACTAATTTCATCAAAACAGGAATCCCAAAGTTAAAATACATTGAAAAGGCATACAACTAATAAAAGACTTTGATACCTTAAAGCAGCTTTTAGGTAGAATTGGTACCTAAGCCCAAAAAAAGGTCTGCAGAAAAGGACCTGGGGGTTACAGTATACAATAACCTGAATATGAACCAGCAGTGTGCCCTTGTTGCCAAGAAGGCTAATGGCATCCTGGGCTGCATTGGTAGGAGTGCTGCCAGCAGGTCAAGGGAAGTGATTATTTTGCTCTATTCAGCACTGGTGAGGCCACATCTGGAGTACTGTGTCCAGTTTTGGAGCCCCCACTACAGAAAAGATGTGGACAAGTTAGAGAGAGTTCAGCAGAGGGCAGTGAAAATGGTAAGGGGGCTGCGGCACATGATTTATGAAGTGGGGCGGAGGGATCTGGGCTTATTTAGTCTAGACGAGAGAAGATTAAGCGGGGCTTTAATAGATTTTACCTGAAGCGTGGTTCCAAAGAGGATGGAGCGAGACTGCTCTCAGTAGTGGCAGGTGGCAGAACAAGAAGCAATATTCTCAAATGGCAGCAAGAGAAGTTTAGGTTGGATGTTAGGAATAACTTTGTCACCAGGAGTGTGGTGAAGTACTAGGACAGGTTACCTAGAGAGGTGGTCATCCTTGGAGGTTTTTAAAGCCCAGTTCGACAAAGCCATGGTTGGAATGATCTAGTTAGGGATAGCCCTCCCTTGTGTAGGGGGTTGGGCTAGATGACCTCCAGAGGTCTCTTCCAACCCTAATTTTCTATGATTCTATTAAAATTGGCATCCAAAAATCCCTTCTTAGCTTCCAAATATCAGGGGCTGCTGAAATTCATTAGGTACTTTCATGTGTGACTTCAAAGTCCCTCAGGTATGTATAGCTCTTCTGTGTATAACCAAAGCTTCCCCAGAATTTGCCTTGGCCAAATAGATATCCAAGAGCTAGGTCTTTCTCTGCCATAGGGAGAGCTTGCCAGTAAATTTTTGGCTGAATGACAAGTTGGTGGTGCACTACTTATGTGTGGTTAGAACACGTACCCTCAGTCTGAAGGGGTATTGAACACTCCCAGGAGAATTCTCCCAATCCACAGGCTATAGGCTACTGTACCTGGTAGAAGACAATCAGTATTTGTCTTGAGTACTGGACCAGAGAGAATGATTGTAAATACTAGTGATGATGGCCCTTAGCTAGAGAAGATGATTATAAACCCTGTTCCTGGGATTGTTTCAGTATTTTTTCCTATGGCTGCTTAACATAAAACACTGCAAGAATCAGGGCTATGAACCCAGGTCGCCCCAGGAGTGTCTTAATCATTAGATTAAAATTAGTTCCTAAATTGCACCCTGTGAGCCCCTTTGATGTAGCCTCTGTTTTAATAAGTTTGTGCAATAAATATTGAGCCACAGCCACTCTATTTGACAGGAAAACTTGTAGGGAGCATGTCCAAGTTTTCAGTCAGGCTAGTTATGTGCAGGACTGTCCCTTTGAAATATGCTTCAGGGGCGAAACTTTTGAGGACCCCGAACATCAGTAGCCAGCAACAACCTTGGTAGCAGGCAGGTTGGCGGGGCTTGCCAAAACATGGCTGTATACCTAAATCAGTGAGTAGTCAGGTTTCACGTATGTTGGTCCTGAAATGGTGCAAGTATTATTGTGTTCTTGACCAAGTTTCAGGAAACTTTGGTAGCAGGAACAATGGAATGAAACCTACTTTGCTGTGGCACAGTAAGAAAGTGTTTTGCTTTATTTGCAAGCAAAATATATCAGTCATAATGGAGTACAACACAAAAATAGTATTACAATACAAATCATAGTTTTTACAATGAGTTTGTCAGTGACTGTCAAAAGTTACAACTAGAGCTGTTGCAAAAAGCCTTATGGCACAAGTCAGTTTTTAAAAGGGCTGTCTGAGGCAACAAAGTTACATTGATCAGTTTTGCTGTGGCTCATAAAACAGCAAAGAAAGGTAAACTCTCAAAGATTGCATGTTGAGAGTTGTGGACATAACTTGCCCAGGAAAAAAGGTCTGCATTTACTCAAGGTCAGTGTGTCTGAAATGAAAGTGTGTCATAATAATGTTGAGGACATTGCTGATTATCTTAAACTACAGTTTCAGGATACTGTTGAAAGTTTGTGGCATACTTGTAGATGAGAGTACCAATGTTGTAGATATTGCACACATCCTTATTTTAGTTTATGGAGTTATAGAAGATTTCCAGATGCACAAAAAGCTCTTTTCTCTTGAAAGACCGAACTACAGGACTACATGTATGTAAGTGCTGTGCATTTGAGGCAAACAGCATGACATGGGCAGCTCCCATTTGTGTCACTACAAACAATGCCCCATCCATGACTGGAACTAAAACCGGAAAGTGGCACTACTAAACCAGAACGTTACTGAAGAATATGATGTGGGCATAACTTATTACCACTGCATTATGCATTAAGAAGCTCTTATTGCTTAAGTTCTCAGGGATGGACTGTGTCAAGAAGTTGTGAATTTCATCAAATTTAGAGTAGAGGCCTCAATTTAAGCAGTTTAAGGCCATTTTAGAAAAGTGAAGCTGAATTTGGAGATGTCATATATTTTACAACAGTTTGATGAGTAAGCACAGGTGCCACCCTGAAACACTTTTTCTTTTCTCTTGACTGCCTTCTGAATGAAAAAGGACAAGGTTTTACTCATCTGACTGGTATTTAGTCAGTATCATTGGCCTTCTCAACAGAGTGAATGTGAAGCTTCAAGGCCATGAGGGTGATGGTATGATGGTAGGATACTCTTCTGGGAAGTGAAAGATACAGATTTGACCTCCTCAAGTACTTCTGCTTTGAGAGACAACAGCAAACCTGCTTCATTTCTTGAAATAATATTTTTGGGTGCTTTCATTCAGGAGAGGGTTCTAGGCTATGGATCCTTCTATGGATTGAGATACCTGCTTAGTGCTTACAGCCCTGAGTCCAATGTCCAGGTTCCAGAGCAGGGTGAGATTTAAGACTCTTCCATATGCGTGCTTAGCCTCTCCTCTTGGACAGCTTCAGGTAGCTCCAGTTCACTATGCTGATTGTCGAGATCATCATTTTGGAGAATCTGATTCTTCCCATGCACTATATAGGGAGCTTATATACCTACGAAGGGTCTCGGATTCCCCTCCAGGCTCCTAAAAATTAAGTTCCAGCACCTCCCTGCTTTATAGAACCAAGCCCCAAATCTATGTTATTTCTCTCCCCATTCAGTCAGTGTCTGTGATTTACTAATGTGGTCTCATATGCCAGAAATAGCCTTTCACAAACTCCTTTAGGAAAACTGCTGAAGAGTTACCATTCTTCTACACATAAATGTCTACAGACTGTTAGCCCAGGGATCTATCATATGTTTGCTATATTTCACCTGTTATTTAGAACTGTTTATGCAGATGCTAGTATTTAATTAATAAGAATATTCCGTTAA